CAAAAACAAGAAAAGCCCCAGGACTCACCACTCCTGCAGCGGCACCGGGGTTTTGGGGACTCGTGCAGAGCCCCCACATGGCGGGGGGCAGTGGGGATCACCCCCTGCTGGCAGGAATGGTGCATCTGGTGGTTTTCTCATTTATTTTTTTTCTTAAAGGGCCTGGCTTGTGCAGAGCCCCCCCATGCAGCACGGGGCAGTTGGGGGGCAGCAGGGATGGCCCCCCGCCCAGCAGCACCCATTGAGCCAGGGCTTTTTTTTTTTCCCAAAGAGCCAGAAGCAGGGACAGCCATTACCAGGCTGGGAGAGCAGGCGGGGAATGGGCCTGACCTGGCTGATTCAGAGATTTGGCTGAATCAAATCAGGACAATAATTCAAATGCTGAAATCGCTGTCCCCCAAATCGGCCAAATCCAAATCCAAAGTGAATACCAGCTGCTTCACACAGGCCTAGAAGTCATAGGATGGGGAAGAACTAAGGATTAATCAGGATGTACAAGTCCTCCACCCCCACGTCACTAATCTCTATAGTGCCAAGGACTACTGAATCTTGCAGCAGCCTCCAATTAAGTGGGTTAAGTCTTCTGTCCTTTCTGGGTGGGGATGAATCTTGCGCCTTCTGCCCAAAAGACTAATTTGTACTAAGAAATGTACATGGGTTGAAATTAATTATGCTTCTTGGTTGTCTGTTTTTCCCCATGTCAGGAACTATATGGCTATTTTACTTCAAGATGGACTTTGTGAGATCAATTGCATTGCTGTGACTTTGTGGAAATAACCTGGAATCAGGACCTTGGAGTGGGATTTTATCCTGACCTATTCAAACAGAATATAGAGATATTAATACGCTCCTACATTTGTTCTTCATTAGTACAGTATTGTAACCTTGTCCTTGTACTGAAAGGCCTCAGATGCACTGGTTTAACAGTAAGAAAATAGTCTATTGCATATACAAAACTCAGGGTAATACTGCATTCTGTTATCATCTAGCAATGAAGAGTTAGTCATTTGAACAACTTAGTGGAAATAAAATGACTATCAACTGTTTACTGCTGAGTATCAGAAAAATATTCTTCCTATAGGTGAAATGTGTTCAACTATGCAGTGGTTTGCTA